CCTCTCCCTCATCATCCATTAAACTCCATGCCAACTCCTAACCATTTAAATTTTTTAAAAATCCAGTCTAGCCCTGGCTGGCGTAGCTCAGTGGATTGAGCGCAGGCCTGTGAACCAAAGGGTCTTGGTTCAATTCCCAGGCTAGGGCACATGTCTGGATTGCAGGCTGGGTGCCCAGTAGGAGGTGTGCAAGAGGCAACCACACATTGATGTTTCCCTCCCTTCCTTCCTTCCCTATCCTCCAAAAATAAATAAATAAAGTATTTTTTTAAATTTTAATAAAAACTTTCAAAAAAATCCAATCTAAAGCTTACCATCCCCACACCCTGCCCACCTCCTGCCTCTTTCTCAGACCACCCCAGCCTCCAGGGGCCTATCCCTGTGGACCCGCTCCCCCACCCGCACTGACCGAACCATGCACCCAGCACTGAGCACCTGGGCTTCGTGTTATCACACAGGCGTTCTCATGTGTGACTCTTGTCCTTACAGCCACATTACAAGCTCAAAAACGCAGGAAACTCTCTTTTACAGTTCTTTACGTGTCCCCTACACACACCTTTTTGAACTGCTTAAGGCATAAAGATATACAAATGCCTGTTGAGTGAGGGTTCATTTTACACATTTTAAGAGCAAATTTTAGGACAGTCTTGCTCAACTGTATTATGCTTTCCCTAATTCTCACACTTAGGATTCTGGGTTGGAATTGTCCGTGTGCTTATCTGTCTCCCCCACACAAACCTGTAATCATGAGGGCAGAAACTCTATTTGCCTTGTTTACTGTTGCATCCCTGGTGGAGTGCACAGTGCCTGGCATATGGAATAGTCTTTTAGTTAAATGGTGATTGAGTGAGTAAATATTCTTTCCCCATTGCTGTCATCTGGAGTTGGGGTCAGGACCTGAAGTCTGCTACGTGGAGCAGGCTGGGCAGTGTTGCTGTCCCCTGCAGATGATGGAGCAATTGTCCCACATCTGTGATGACTCCCAATTACCCATCCCCCATGCAGCCTCGCCTGTAATGCTTACTGTGGCATGCCCATCCTCGTCATACTGCCGTAGCTGCCCCAGGAACTCCAGGTGCTTCTTTTCCTCCTCCAATTGGGCCACAGCCTGCTCACTGCGCTGGAGCCGCTGCTGGGTACCTGCCAGCTCATCCCGGAGCCACTGGTTCTCCTGGCACAGCCGCCGTACCTGAGCCCGCAGCTTCTGTTTCTCTGACTCCACTGTGCTCAGGTGACTGGCCAAAGCCAGCATCACCTAGGTGGGCACATCCTGTGAGCACCAGACTCTGGCTAGGAGTGTTCAGGAATGGCAGGAGGGAAGCCTACTGGGAGGTGGCAAGACTAGCAGGAGCCAGGAAATGGGGTTGGGGAGCAATGGTTCTGCTTTCAAAATACACCCTGAATCCAATTTCTCACCGCCTCCATAGTCACCCCTGGGCCAAGCCACCATCAGCTCCTACCTGGATTACTACAATAGCCTCCTCACTGGCCTCTCTGTTTCTGCCCTTGTTCCTTAGAATCTATCCTCAACCCAGCAGCCAGATGACCTTTTTTAAAATGTTAAGTTAGAACATATCATTCCTCTCCTCTGTCCACATAACCTGTCCCCCTCTCCCCAACCCCATGACCTCTTGAACTTCATTTTCTATTTTGTTTCCCCTCATTCATGCTACTGCAGCCACAATGGCCTCTTATTGAACTCATTGAGAAAACTCTGGTTCAAGGCCTTTGCACTTGCTGTTCACTATGCTTAGGATGCTCTTCCCCCATTTACTGCATGACTCAATTCCTGATCTTCAAACCTTTGCTCAAATGTCACCATTTCAGTGAAGCCTTTTTGGACCACCCTGTATAAAGTCACAGGTTCTCTCCATACTCCCTAATCCCCTTCCCTGCTTTATTTTTCTCTTTTTATCCTTAGCAATTATCACTCTGGCATACTGAATCATTTACTTATTTATTGTGTACTATCTGCTTCCCCCAGACAGAATGTAAGCTCTAAGATGGCAAGTGTTGTGTTCAGTGATATGTCTCCAGAGCCCAGAGGAATAGTGCCTCACACATAGTAGGGGCTTAATACATATTTACTGAATGAATGTAAGAATCTAGGACAAGGGGATCCCAAGGGACCTCAAACCTCCAATAAGAAAACTGCTCCTCCATGGGCCATCTGGCCCCACCTCCTCCCTCTCACCTGGGCCTCGCTCAGCCCCAGCTCAATGTTTTCCATAGAATGGCGTAGCTGCCGAGCCTTCTCATGCACCAGCCCTTCTTCATGGCCTCCTTGCTGCAGACACTCAATGGTCTGGGACAGGCTTTGTAGTACAGCCTGGTGTTCGCTGTGTAGGGCTTCCAGCCCTTGGCTCACCAGCCGAGTACGTCCCAGGATCTCCTCCTGGCTGAGCCGGTGCCCTGCAGGTTCATCCCGCTGCCCCAACACCAGGCCCGACATCCTGGACTGGAAAACCTTGCCTGGGCTAGGGAGAAAAAACACAGCTCAGGTGAGGTAAAGATAAGAAAAAGAGGCTGAGGTAAGGGGGTGGTGGGATCCAAGTTAACAGATGAATATGGGCAACCCTGTGGTTTAATCAGAGAGAGCAACCAGTACAGAGGGACCCTACAATACTAAAAACACAAAGCTTAAGGTTGCGGGAAAGAGAGAGAGAGAGAAAATTATTTAAATGAAAAAAGAAAGAAAGAAAGAATAGACCTCTGACTGGTGTGGCTCGGTGGATTGAGCACCAGCCTGCAAACCAAAAGGTCACTGGTTTGATTCCAAGTCAGGGCACATGCCTGGGTTTCAGGCCAGGTCCCCAGTTGGGGGCATGAGAGAGGCAACCAATGGATATTTTTTTCTCTTGCTCGTCAAGGTTTCTCTACGATTCTTTCTCCTTCCCTTCCCCTCTCTCTGAAAATAAATAAATAAAATCTTTAAAAAAGGAAAAAAGAATAGAGAAGGAACAAAGGTCTTGAGAACTAGCAGGGAGATTTAGAACTTAGGACCAAAACAGAAGAGGAGTTGGAGAGAGTTTGGGTTAGGAAAAGGAATCAAGGGAGCCCTAACTGGTGTGTCTTGGTTGGGTGTCATCCTGCAGAGCGAAGGGTAGATTCCCACTCAGGGCCCATGCCTGGGTTATAGGTTCTTCCCAGGTCAGAGCACGTATGAAAGGCAACCAAGAGAACGTTTCTTGCCCTCTCTTTCTCCCTCCCTTCCCCTTTCTCTAAAAATAAATAAAATCTTTTTTAAAAAAGGAATCAGGAGCCCTAGCTGGTGTGGCTTAGTGGATTGAGTGCCAGCCTGTGAACCAAAGGGTCACCAGTTCGATTCCCAGTCAGGGCACATGCCTGAGTTGTGGGCCAGGTCCCCAGTTGGGGGTGTGTGAGAGGCAATCACACATTGATGTTTCTCTCCCTCTCTGTCTCCCTCCTTTCCACTCTCTCTAAAAATAAAAAAGTTTTTTTTAAAAAAGGAATCAGGAGATGAGAGACGAGCACTACAAGAAACACGGAAAGTGTTTGGTGACAGTTACAAAGGATACAGATTTAAAGCAGACAACAGATATGTAGAAAATGGTGCAGAGGTTTTGCAAAAAGGGAAGGAATGTTTCAAAGTTAAATCAGGGAAAAGAGAGGAAAGAAGAAAATAGGAGCCTTCATTGCAGGACCCAGATGAGAGGACCCAAAAGGCTCAAGGTCTTCAGACTGCTTCAGCCACGGAGCTAAGAGCAGCCATCTGATCACCTCTCTCTCTTTCCCCACAAGCTTTCAACCCATATTCCCCCCGACCGCCCCCCACCTCGAGGTCTCAGGCTGTCTTCCTATATCCTCAAAAGGGCCTTGTTTCTCATCTTTGAAGTCCTCTTACCTGTTTACAGAGCACAGCCCTTGGCTGTGGCACTCAGGCCAGAGCCGGAAAGAAACTGTTGAGCAGCCAGGGACTCAAAAGGAGCTTCCCTGCCCAGAGTCCAGAAGTCCAGCATTCCCACCCCTTCCCTCACCACTTCACAGACACCCAGAAGACCTGGCACAGAGCCCCACCCAGAATAAACACCCTCCCTCCCCCAGCCGGCCCACAAGTCTTCAAAGACAACCAGTGTCTCTCCTCTTTCTCCAGGCCAACCTCTCGCCCCAAGCCTGGGGAGCTATTTTCTCCCAAAAAGGGAGTGAGACTTGATCTGGAACCTGCGGCAAGGGGCGTGTCTGGCTAAGAGTAAAGAGGGAGACCTGGTCACTCCTGGCTCAGGCACTTCCACGGCTTTGTCTCTGTTATAATCACCGACTAACAGGCTCTGAGAGAGTCAGCTTAGAGTGCCTCCCAGATGCCTGATGATGCAGGAAAGAATGGCAGGTCTGCTGAGCCGCTGCAGAGTCACAGGGAAACGCGGCACCGGGAGGTAGTCTCGCGGGCCTTGGAATGCGGTTGAGCAGTGCCCCAAACCATTGACCTGCCCTGAGGCCCTGGGTGGGGATAGTGAGATGGGCGGGGACGTTGGGGAGGAGGTACAGGTGGAAGACAGAAGTACGCGTCACGGGTGAGGACTCAGTGGCCCCACAATCCCGAGGTCATTGAGACAGTTGGTAGGGCAGGGGGCGGGGCAGGCCGACTGCTCTGTCTGGACACCGAGGGGCGGGAAGAATAGTGGGGGGCGGAGTTTTTTAGTCTTGAGTTGTGTGAGGTCATTCGGCGAGGGTTTATTCATCTGTCCAAAATTGCGGGAATAAGAATTAGCGGGACCTCGACCCTCAGCCCCAGATGCATCTCAAAGACTCACCTGCCGTCGGTCGACCTGCTTGCTGCGCTTGCCGGTACTGCCCCTTTAAATGCATCATGGCTACCGCTCGAGGCAATTGTTTTGACGGGTCCGAGGGGCGGGGGCCTGCTCCGCAGTCACGCGACCTAAAAGCCGCCAGAGGATTGGTTCTGACCACGCGCAGCAGAAAAGGGGGTGTGACACAGCTGGCCCTCTGGTTCTCCCTCCGCCTCTTTTACGTCATGAAGAAGCGACGGCACTGGGAGTCCTTACCGTCACTCTGGGGCGCCCGGTGTTGTCTAAAAGTAATGGTGGCGTGCTGAGCCCGGAGGGCCTTGGGTACTCTCATGGCCCTGCGAACACTGACCCGTGCTCTGGGCTCTCTGAGCCTGGCGCCCGCGGCGGCTGCTGCCCCCGGCCCGAGCCTGCTTCCGACCGCCCAGGTAATCCACCTTCCCCGGAAATTAGTATATTTCCGTTCGGGCCGCCGGAAAGGGGACCCCCGGGGATGGGAGGCAGGGATACGAGTCTAGTCAGAAGTCACTCCGGCCCGTGACCTTGAGTAAGTCAGTCTAATCCTCAGCCTTCTCCTCTATAAGTGTTGCCATCTCACAGAGCCGCTGGATTCCTCAGACGAGATACTGGAGGTAAAAGTGCTTTGCAGAGAACCGGTTGTACAGGTTTCAATAATAATTGACACTTAACTGGGTGCCTGTCATAAGCCAGGCTTAAGTAATAGAGGTGTTAAATAAGTGAACTCGTTTCAACTATTCTACAAGGTAGTTAGTTATACCTCATATTAACATTCCCATTTTTTAAAAAGAGATTTTATTCATTTATTTTAGAGGGAAAGGGAGGGAGAAAGAGAGGGAGAGAAACATCAATGTGTGGTTGCTTTTCGCGCGCCCCCTACTGAGGATTTGGCCTGCAACCCTAACTGCATGTGCCCTTACTGGGAATCGAACTGATGACCCTGTGGTCCTCAGGCCGGCACTCAGTCCCCAGAGCCACCCCAGCCAGGGTGAACATTCCCATTTTCATATGAGAAGACTGATGAGTAATCCAAGGCCATTCACCAACTATTTGAGCTAGGCGGTCTGGCTTCAAAGCCTGAACTCTTGACCATTATAAACATTAAGGATGCTGACCTTAGAGAATACAGGGCAAGATACCAAGAATAGGAGCCTAAGGTGAAGGTCACAAGGTCCCTAGTGGGTGATTCGTGAATCACAGAAAAGAGTTGTTAAAGTCTTGCTCTAGACTTCTTAAGCTGATGGTAGAGTCTGGCAGAGGCACACTTAAAATTCAAAACCCATTCTGTGAAATCCTGGGAATATAGCAGGGAACAAGACAGAAATGATCCCTTCCCTCTATTTGTATTTGAAAAACTCCCAGAAATATAATGCAGATTAGCAAAAGGCATTGGTGCTGATGGTGGTATATGGATGTGTGGAAGCTACCAGCTCTGGAAAAGGGAGTAGTTTGGGGAAGGAAAAGCTTCTCCTTCCTGGAGGTGGAGAATAGAGCCAGATTTAGTAGAGCATCAAGAGAAGAACATTCCATTACAGAATAGAAATACTTAAGAGGTGAAAGGATCGAATGAGAAGAGGTAATCAACACACCTGGATAAACAGTGCACACTGGTATTTGTACAAGCTGTGAAGGGTAAAGTTTTTGGACTGCTAGTCTGGGACACTTCCAGGAAGAAGTGGGCTACACGCTAAACTTGGTCTCTGCCCTCTCCCTTGGTTCTGTGATGCTTCTCCTTCAATTAGCTTTGAAGTGTAAGAGATTTCTGTTTATCTCCAGGTGACAAACAATGGCCTCCTCAAGTGTCCCTCTGCCTTGTTGCTACCTTGCCGCCCAATCCTTACCTCTGAGGCCCTTGGTGCCAAATCTGTGTCCTGGAAGAGTCATACCAAGTACACCATTAAACCACTGAAGATGAGGAAGTCTGGGGGCCGAGACCACACAGGTGGGAGCAAGGGCAAGAGGATTTAAGCAGTAAGGAGAAAAAACATAGTAGGACCCTGGTTCTGTATATTGATACAGGCAGAGGAATGTAATTAAAACATTTATTGGACTCCTACATATAGTATGTGATTAAGAATGAGCGAATAGAATACAAAGCAATAGACAAGTGGTCTGTGTTCCTAAAAACAATCTAGATAATTGAAGAAAACTGGACATACACAACAAGTTTCATGGCATTCTTCACACCCTTCAAACACTGACAGCAGTTAACCTGAAACCTATAAAATTGTATTAACCAGTGTCATCCCAATCAATTTAAGGAAAAAGAAAACAAAATTGTAACAGTTGAAATCAAGCACTGTTTACATGGCCCTCAGTAAACTTACTGAACTGAGTAATTTGTAAAGAATTTATCTGGAGGTTTTATACAATTTTAATAATAATATAATTATGTTTTTACCAAGGTATGCGTGTGTTTCCCCATCCCCATTTACCCCATTGTGCTCTGAAAATTTTTTATCATTTTCTGCTTGGGTCACAATTCTGGGAAACACTGTTCCCTGCCAAAGACAGGCCTGTTCCTCTGACCTGGCTTATGTCCCCTCACTGCCCTGACCACAGGCCGAATCAAAGTGCATGGTATTGGCGGGGGCCACAAGCAACGTTACCGCATGATTGACTTTCTTCGGTTCCGGCCGGAGCAGGAAGCCAAGCCAGGACCCTTTGAGGAGAAGGTCATCCTTGTCCGCTATGATCCCTGTAGGCAAGTTTGCAATGTGGGGTGATGATGGCATGACTGAGTGACTACTCTGTGGCTTTTCAGAAGATGTGGGGTTGCCTAGATGGTCTGTTCACCTGTCACTCTCCTTGAACAGGTCAGCAGACATAGCTCTGGTTGCTGGGGGCAGCCGGAAACGCTGGATCATTGCTACAGAAAACATGCAGGTTGGAGATATAATCCTGAACTCTGACCACATAGGCCGAATGGCAGGTGAGAAATGGTCACTGAATGTGCGTGGGCTGGGAGGCTGCAAGTGCTCTGGTGCTGATGAAATTCTCTCTTAGTTGCTCCTCGGGAAGGGGATGCACATCCTCTTGGGGCCTTGCCCGTTGGGACCCTGATCAACAATGTGGAGAGTGAACCAGGCCGGGGAGCCCAGTATATCCGAGCTGCAGGTATGAAGGAAGGATGTGGTTGGGGTCTTATCATTTGGAAGGCCAGGGGGTAACCAAGGTCACAATTCTGTGAGGCCATGGGCCCATATCTGGTCCACAGGCAGAGGAAAAGAAGAAAAAAATGAAAATGAGGATGAAGAGGTGCTTGTGTTTTTACCTAAAACATGGCATGTGTCCTGCTTCAGTGTATATGCTCCTAAAGGGCAGGGCTGCCCTTTGTGGAGCGTGGCCAAGCTGCTTCTCCCTCCCCAGGGACATGCGGGGTGCTGCTTCGGAAGGTGAATGGGACAGCCATCATCCAGCTGCCCTCTAAGAGGCAGATGCAGGTGTGTGGGGGAATATGAATGGGAGGGATCAACAAGGGAGGGATTAACAAGGGAGGGATTTTTAGAATGTACCTTTCCTGGCCCACATAGCTCCCAGATGTTTTATGTTAGGAACTAGCCCAAGCTCGGTCTGACCTTTTCTGCTGCGTGAAGTGACTGGGAATGCTTAGTCAGGCTGTCACCATAATGGGATAGAAAACTGTCTTTTGTTTTCAATTTCTATAGGACCTGCACTCAGGCTCACTTGTGTCCTGCTTTCCCCCATCTTTTCCCTTCTCACTGAGTGTCAGGACCTTCCCAAGAGTCCTGCCCTCGACATTAGCAGGTTTTTCCCCCACATGGTGCATTCTCTTCCATCTGCTTTCTCTGTCAGGTGCTGGAAACGTGCATAGCAACAGTAGGCCGCGTATCCAATGTTGATCACAACAAACGGGTCATTGGCAAGGCGGGCCGGAACCGCTGGCTGGGCAAGAGGCCTTCCAGTGGGCTGTGGCACCGCAAGGGGGGCTGGGCTGGCCGAAAGATTCGGCCGCTGCCCCCAATGAAGAGTTATGTGAAGTTGCCCTCAGCTGCTGCCCAAAGCTGATAACCCCTGGACTATAATAAAATGACTTGATTTGTATCTGTTACTGTTGTTTTGGAAGGGGAGATGGTAAATACTAGACCCGGGGAAAAGAACGGAGCGAACAAATGTGTGGGGAGGAGAAAGGGAAGGATGATATGGGGCAAAGACTGCGGCTGCAACCTCATTTCCGTTCCTTCACAGGTAATGGAGGAGGGGGTGATAAATGACCTACAGGGTATTACATAGCTCTGACTTGGGGAAATGGAGAAGGCACTTCCGGTGGCAGGAGGGAGGAGGGAAAGGAAGAGGATAGGGTGGAGAGGAGGAGGTGGAGTCTTGCCGTAGCCAAGGTGGCACCCACAGCTCCGCCCCAGGGCCCCTAGCTTCGCTTGGGGTGCAGCGGAATCAGCAAAGCCGCTGGATGAGTGGCACAGCTCCCAAAGCTGGGTGGGTGGCACAAAGGGCTGGGGACCTGCCCCTTCCCTGCCCAGCTGTAGCAGACCTGCACGCACTAGCAGTGACAGTAAGCCCAGCCTCTGGGCTCTGAGTCCCTGCAAGCCACACCCCCTGCCCCAACGCCTGTCCTACGGAGGCACGCCCCCTCCCGCCTCTCTACCTTGACCCCCTGGGGGGCCCAGGCGGAGCCCAAATCTGTGCTCGCCGGCATCGCCGCCATCGTCTGCGCTGCGTCCCTAGCTCAGAGAAGGACAGGCCTCTCACCAGGACCCCAATCGACTTCTGAGGTGGCCAGAGCCCCACCGCGGCCCCCTGCTCCTACCCCGGGTTTTCTTCCCCCAACGAGCCCACCGAGCTTTCCCCACACCCGACCTCGCGTCCCCCTGTTCCATTGTGCTTCGGGATTCTCCTTTATCCTGCCTCCGGCCACCCACCCCCCACCTGGTCGCGCGGCCACCCACCCCCACCTGGTCGCGCGTCCCCCCCCCCACCCCCCTTTGGCTTCTTGGGTTTGTGACCCTCGTCCACCAAGCCTCCAGCCCCTCACTTACCGGGTCTCCTGCGCACTTTGCCCGGGGCCTTATGTTGCCCTCACTGGCCTTTCTGCTCCGGCGCCTTCAGTCACAGGCGCCTGCAGCCCACCAGCCTGTCCTCCCAATCCGTGGCGCCATGCGCCCTACCCAACCACTAATTCTCTGGGTCTCCTTCCTCTGCGACTCACCCTCCTGTGGTTCACGCATCGGAGCTTACCATACACATTTGTGTCATTCCTCAGCGTCCCACCGCCCAACACACCTGGCTCTGGGCTGCCCCCACCTGTCCCAGGGCCTCGGGCTTCCCTTGTATCTCTGAGACGGCCCAGCCCCCACTGTCCCTTTGCCACTGCTCGAAACCAATCCACTCTAGACTACAGGGCCTTAGACCCTCCTTTTAGCCCCCAAATTGTGTATTCTCTCACAACAAACACCCCAGTGTTCTGCTTGGGTCTGGACCCACCCAGCATGCAGCAGGCAACTCCTGGGCCCTGCTTTACTCCTACCCAGCCCAGCAGCTGGTGCCACATTTGCTTCCCCTCTTGTGGCGGTCCTTGATTTTCTGACCTCCCCTCTCACTTTCGCTTGCCTGTTCTCTTTTCCCTGTTTGCCCCAGGTGCCAGGATGGTGGGGGAACTCCGCTACAGGGAATTCAGAGTGCCCCTGGGGCCCAGCTTGCATGCCTATCCTGATGAACTGATCCGCCAGCGAGTGGGCCACGATGGGCATCCTGAATACCAGATCCGCTGGCTTATCCTCAGACGTGGGGAGGATGGGGAAGGAGGCCAAGTGGACTGCAAGACTGATCACATCCTGCTATGGATGTCCAATGATGAGATCTATGCCAACTGCCACAAGATGCTGGGCAAGGATGGCCAAGTTATTGGGCCTTCCCAGGAGACTGCAGGGGAGGCCGGGGCTCTGGACAAATCTGTGCTAGGGGAGATGGAAACGGACGTGAAGTCCCTGATTCAGAGGGCCCTTCGGCAGCTGGAGGAATGTGTGGGCACCGTTCCGCCTGCTCCTCTGCTTCATACTGTCCATGTGCTCAGCGCCTATGCCAGCATTGAGCCCCTCACTGGGGTCTTCAAAGACCCAAGGGTCCTGGACTTGCTCATGCACATGTTGAGTAGTCCTGATTATCAGATTCGCTGGAGCGCAGGGCGGATGATACAAGCCCTGGCCTCTCATGATGCTGGTGAGGAGTAGTGTGCAGAGGAGGGGAGAGCAGGAGAGGGGCTGGGTCACCTTAGGGCTTCACAGGACACTGTAGCAGGAGTGTGATCTCATCAGTACATAAGTGATCTGTTGCTCTTCTCTCAGAATGGAAAGAAAAGGAGGTGGGGGATAGGTATGGGCACGTCTGCAGAAAGAGGAAAGACTGAGTGTCCAAAAACCTCATATTAATTGGCTTTCTATGGAAGTTTTATCTTTTGAAGCAAATCAGCAAATCACGTCATTCCTAGTGTGTGGTGGAAAAAGGATTGGACTGAGGGAGTAGGGGGGCCTAGGAGAGATACCTGGGAAGGGTGAGGTTAGGGAGCAGTTACTGACTGGGGTGTGGGTTACAGGGACCCGGACCCAGATCCTTCTGTCACTGAGCCAGCAAGAGGCCATTGAGAAACTCCTGGATTTTGACAGCCGCTGTGCTCTGCTGGCTCTGTTTGCACAAGCCACACTCTCCGAACACCCCATGTCCTTCGAGGGCATTCAGCTGCCACAGGTATTCTGTCGGGGGTTTGGGGGTGAATCTAGGAAAATCTAGGGGCCAGGCCTTTACAATTCCCCATAGAGGATGGTGTAGGGAGGGGTGCTAAAGGTTGGACAAAGCGGATGTAGGCCAAAGGTTGTGTCCTACAGGTCCCAGGAAGGCTGCTTTTCTCCCTGGTGAAGCACTATTTGCATGTTACCTCCCTCCTGGATCAACTGAATGACAGTGCTGCAGAACCAGGAGGCCAGAACAGCTCTGCACCCGAGGAGTTGAGTGGGGAGAGGGGTCGCCTGGAGCTGGAATTCAGCATGTCCATGGGCACCCTGATCTCAGAGCTGGTGCAGGTCATGCGCTGGGACTGGGCCTCAAGCAGACAGGGGCCCTCAGCAAGGTCCTCCAGTTCCATCTTTCAGCCCCCACTAGCAGGTGCAGGCCTCGGGCTGCCACCCACCCAGGCCCAGGCCTCCCTCAGGAGGTCAAGGAGGTTTCGTCCTCGCTCTGAGTTTGCAAGTGGCAATACCTATGCCTTGTATGTGCGGGATACACTGCAGCCAGGGATGCGGGTGCGGATGCTGGATGATTACGAGGAGATCAGTGCTGGGGATGAGGGCAAGTTCCGGCAGAGCAACAGTGGCGTGCCCCCTGTGCAGGTGAGCTGGCGCATGGTGGTGGGACACTGCTGGGGATCTGTTTGGGTGACACATAGCTGGGGCTTCCATGCAGTGGGCTCTGGGAGGTCACCCAAGGAGAAAACCCCAAGGGAATTGAAATGGTCAAAGTAGGGTCAGCAACTGAGAAGGGGGGCATTTGAAAGGCTGAGAAAATCTGTTTCGGAGTCTGTGAGGTCAGAAAGATTCCCAGGAGGGAACGGATACAGCAAGGCTCTCCCCAAGGCCAGGGCCGGGGAGGCAGGGTGGTTGATGCCAGGAGGAAGCGTAGGGGTATAAGCCGTCGAGGACGGGTGAGAAGATGAGGCAAAGCATGGTCGTGTTCTCCCTGTGCCAGTGTTTTGCTGTCTGACGGTTTTTACAAACTGGACGAGGGTCACCTGAGGGCTGTATGTCCTCATCACTGGTCCACAGCCAGTCATTAAGTGAGCTCTCTATTCCCGTTCCCTCTCTGTTTTCCCCCATGTCTTCCAGGTGCTGTGGGGATCGACAGGCCGCACCTATTGGGTCCACTGGCACATGCTGGAGATTCTGGGTTTTGAGGAAGACATCGAGGATGTGGTGGAGGCTAATGAGTACCAGGGAGCTGTGGTCAGTGGAGCCCAGGGTGTAGGTGAGCCCGGAGAGGAAGCTGGAGGAAGCTTTAAGCACAGGGGCAGCCATCTGGCTGGGTGGGCAGTGACACTGTGCCCTGCGACCCATTTCCACAGCCCTGCCCTCCTGGCGGTGGAAGCCCATGGCAGAGCTCTACGCCATGCCCTACGTGCTGCCTGAGGATAAGGACACTGAGGAGAAGGAGCACCTGACCCAGGCTGAGTGGTGGGAGCTCCTCTTCTTCATCAAGAAGCTGGATGGACCTGCCCATCAGGAGGTTCTCCAGATCCTCCAGGAGAACCTGGATGGGGAGGTAGAGCCTGCCCAGAGACAGAGAAGTTGGAGGCCTCCACTGCAAGGATTGCCCTGTGACAAAGCATTCGGGAGGCTCAGGATGGGTGGGCAGATTGACAGTGTAAGGAGCTGCAGGGGAGGGATCTAAAATGTTCAGGGATGTTGGCGAGCTGTTTGGGAGGAGCCAGCTGCCAGCCGTGAGAGCTTCGGGGTGGGGAAGGCATATGCAGAGATCCCCGCCCCTACCAAGTGGCCCTGGAGCCTCTCTGCTGGCAGGGATGCCTGCAGTGAGAGCTTCTCCCCGATGACAGATTCTGGATGACGACATGCTGGCTGAGCTGGCCGTGCCCGTGGAGTTGGCTCAGGACCTGCTGCTAGCTCTGCCACAGCGACTCGATGACAGCACTCTCAGGGACCTGCTTAATTGCCGTGTCTACAGGAAATATGCGCCAGAGGCCCTGGCAGGGCAGCCAGCTTACCGGTCCCTGCTGGAAGCCCAGGCCCAGCCTCAGGAATCAGAAGACACGGCCAGAGTGAAAGGTGGGGCACCAAACAGAAACAGCAGCTCTGCAGAGTGGCCTCCGGGAGGGCATGAGCGGAGGAGCGAGGGCTGTGCTGGGTTTTGTGCAGTCCCATTTGGAAGAGATGGCACCTCGGGGAGAAACCAAAACTTAGAGATGAGCAATGAATGAGAAAAGCAGACATTGAGCTCCTTCCAAAGAATGAAGGAGGATGTAATGTTTAAAGCCTTAAAAAGCCCACCACCCCCTCATTTAATTTTTTCCATTGTAGAGAAAAACA